ACCCCCACGGCTGAAAGGGCGAGCATGTTTGGTGGGACTGGGATTCGAACCCGCGACCCTCAGATTGCGAGTCGAGCTCCCTAAACCACCTGGCCATGCCCCTGATAAAGATAGATTACCATGCAATTATTTCAGTGCATAGTATTCATCAGTTCTTAACTTACAATATCTGACATGGTAGAGCAGTTTTCGTCCTCTCACTTTATCATTTTCGTAAGTTAAGTTCGTGGGTACTTTCACAGTATATTATTGTCCCTAAAATTTTTGCACCACGTAGAACTCTACTTTATTTTCCTTAGAATTAATATGTTATATTTTGCAATTATATACAGCAAATTTAAAATAAATCCAAACATTGCATATTTAAAAGATAGACTGTCATAACCGTGCTGTATATTTAGCAGCTGGATTTTGTAGTAGCAAAGAAACTGACAAGCAAAGTTTGATAAACTAAGTACCTAGCAATTAAACCATCTAAATATCCTCTCGATTATAGCCATAGGGGAAGTTAAAAAAACTACTTCTGAATATCCTTCATAATTTGTTTGTAGAATAGCTTAACCGTGGCTAACTCGAGGAGGTTGGGCATTTGGAACATTTTGCTCCAGGCCCCTATTCAAAATGTTTTCCCCAAAATATAAATTACTGTTTAATAAAAGTGAAAAAAAAAGAGAAGTGGGCCCGGAAAAAAATATAGATGAAAAACAAATAACATGAATCACATAAGATAGGGCTCTATAAAATATAAGATCTTTTTGTAACTGGCTTGACAATACTTTTCCCTCGAAAACGCACCATGATAAGTTTATCAGTATTACTGAATATGCTAATTAAAACTTAACTTTCAAAACGATATATATATATATGGCCCCTTTGGAGGGGCTTACATATTCCAAGTTTGTCCTGAGCCCCTTCTAACCTCTGGGCAACCCTAAGTTTAATCATCATTAAGCCTTATATCCCAAACTAAAAGTATACCGACTGCTTATTTAACAACATGGTATGGTGTGTTAGCATCCTTAAAAGAGTTAATTGACTTCACCAGGCAATTAATTCATTCTCATGAGCTAAATACCTTCGATAGCTAACTAAATCTACATAGGAAAAGGTTAGTCTTGTGGGGTTGACAATTTTTATAAGACAGATTTAAAAACATGTTTTCAAAATGTATAGCCTAGAAATAGCATAATCATGCGAATAAAATACTCTCCATTTAACTTACCTATTTTAGAAAATTCTGGTGAATGAAATACTCTCCATATAATATACCTATATTAGGATTCTGATGGATTAAATACTCTATATTATACACCTATATTAGAATGTTCTGGTGAATGAAATACTATCTATATAATATACCTATATTAGGATTCTGATGGATTAAATACTCTATATTATACACCTATATTAGAATGTTCTGGTGAATGAAATACTATCTATATAATATACATATATTAGGATATTTTGGCGAATTAAATACTCTCCATATTGCATTCAAGTAGTAACTTAGTCTGGTAAGCTGATTACTCGGCAATATCTTCGTAAAACTATATACTAGTTATCTTAAAACTCTCCAGGTTGTATCTTTGTGATAAAAAGTCCGATGTCTTGCCTTATTTCATCTCCGCAACGACATAGCTTGTTAAGTTCATACTATCCGGGTTTTGTGCTTGTAGTGAGCTAGTCTAGTCAGCTAACGCCATATTTCATCCTTTAAATAACATAAACTGCTGAGCTAAGCTAAGCATCTGTAAACATTGATTTCTGTAAATAACTAGTTTGGTGAGTTAAGTATTACTCAGCTTTGATTTCTGTAACTAGCTAGTTTGGTGAGTTAAGTACTATTCAGCTTTGATCTCTGTAATTAAGTGAGTTAAGCACTCTTCAGCTTAGATCTTTGTAATAAGCTCATATGAGGAGCTATATACTATCCAGTTTTGATCTCTATAATAAAGTATTCTGGTAATATAAATACTCTTCGTTCTTGATATATATATATATATATATAGTAAGATAGTCTCGTAAGTGAAATACTCCCCATTCTTGATACCTGTAATAAGTTAGTCTGATAAGCTAAATAATCTCTATTCTTGATATTGTTAATAAATTAGTCTGGTAAACTAAATAATCTCCATTCTTGATATCTGTAATAAGTCAGTCTGGTAAGCTAAATAATCTCCATTCTTAATATCTGTAATAAGTCAGTCTGGTAAGCTAAATAATCTCCATTCTTGATATCTGTAATAAGTCAGTCTGGTAAGCTAAATAATCTCCATTCTTGATATCTGTAATAAGTCAGTCTGGTAAGCTAAATACTATACATCCTTGATCTCTATAATAAGCCAGTCTGGTAAGCTTATACTCTGTGTCTTTGATCTCTATAATAAGCCAGTCTGCTGACCTCCAATATTGATCTTTGGATTACTTGCATTATCTTTCTTGCGGTAAATGGAAGCAAACCTGGAAAACATTCTACCGTACATAAACCTGCAGGTCACAACACATTTTCTTGTCTACAATATATTTTAGTGTTCTAATGTTGTTAGTAGTATTTATTTAATTTTTAAACTGAAATATCTTTATCTCTATGTATTTCTTCTATTTTAACTCACTTTCTCTTTTCTGTCAATCTTACACTCCAACTAGTTTCATATTTGTAAGTTGTGTACTAACTACTTACTCCTTTTCTAACAAATTCCATTTAATATTTCGTTTTTCAACACATTTTATTAACTTATTATACCCACCCAACACCTCTTTCTTTGTCTCTCTTTAAATTCAATTCGTTTTTTTTTTGGTCTTTCTTTCCCTTCGATATCCACTAAGCTGCTTTTCTCGTTTATATCTTTTCTCACTTTTTAATCCATGATCATGTTCTCTGTCTTCTCTGTTATTTCTGTTTATGCCTGGAAACTGCGTTATTGTCCCTAGCTTTAGCCATCATCCATTTAAGGAAACGTTTATACATATATATAAACACGTAAGGCATATTCTTAACTGACAATTATAAAATAGTTTACATTAAACAGTTGATTTTATCCTTTGCCTCACCGTTTTGTACCATTTAACATGTTGTGTCAGACAAGTTTTTATTCGTGTCTTATTGTTCAGTCAAAGCTCTATTAAACATGCCATATTTGTTTATGAAAATAGTATGATATGACAAAGTTATACCGGATTTTCAGTTCAAGGACCTTTCTTGCTGAATGTATACTTTTTCACAAGACACGAGGGATCATAAAGAATGGTGTCCAAAACCTTGTAAATCTCGGTTAGTTTTAACTTTCAGTGACTGGCTTTGTGAAGAACACGTTGGACCTTGGACCTTTATGTACACCTTTTTTGCATCAGAGAGGAAAATCTTGTTGTTTTCTAAGATTATCTTACGAAACAGTAAACAGTAGAAAGGTTCTCCACCTCTGTGGATTTAACATCCAACATCCTTTCACGGATCAGTCACCTTTAGAGCGTGCACGTAGTAGGTTAGGATCTAACAAACTACAGTGTATAAAGTATACAGCGTGTCTGGTTAAGTATTTCTGTCTTGTTGATTAACAATACGTTGAACCGTGACATTATTTCTGTTTATCTAATTGTTTGTCGTGAACATTGTTTTCCTTCATACAGGTGACAGTCATGTGATTTACACTGCTGTTTTGTCACCGTAGATCCGCAGTGAAAAACAGAGTACTCAAACTTGATCTTAGGTAACACCACTCAATATCTGACCTGATTTCCTAACTTATACTTAGATAGTTTTCAATTATTTTTATAGTCACAGCCTTAAGAAGTCAAATTTTTGCAATCACGAAATTTTAAAAATGCCTCTAAACGAACAAGAAACTAACTAGACATATTTAAATTGCGATATCAAGATATATTAAACTACACCATGACTCAATAACGTCAAGTAAAAGAAAACGAAGTCTCAAAGCTTTTTCTCAATATTAACTGTGTCAACGAAATGAAATATCAATAGACAATTATAAAGTTTTATTTTTCATTCATAAAAGTGTGGTTACAGATGTCCAAGTTTATTGGTTGGTTCAGTATTGTAAATTTGCACACAAAGCTACACAAGGGTTATCCGCGCCAGCCGTCCCTAATTTTGAACTGATGTTGTTGTTGTTTTTTTCAAGTTGGTATATTTTCTTGCCTCAGTGTTAATTCCAAAACTTCTCGCAAACCAGGCGAACGCACTACTAATGGGATAACGGGCGAACTCCTTCTTCCTAATAAGGCACTTTTTAACAACTCAAACTGCTATACTGATAGACTAGAGGTAAGGTTTGCCCGTCACTTTTATAACACACCCATGCCCCATGGACCCCCAGATCAACAGTCCAGCACGCTCAACACTAGGCCAAGCCTGGTCTTTGGGTAAATTCTGGGAGAGAATCGAAATTTTTCAGAATAAAGTTTAAGCCGAACTGTTTTTAATACTATATTATATGATGAAACTTTCTTAATAACACCTGGTGATAAAAACTTTACATTTTCTTACATCATGGAACTAGCTTGTAAAGAAATATGTGTTTTCATGAAATAATTACCTCAGTGACTGAGAAACGCGGCAAAGTCGTGCTTTGTAATATATATATATATATATATTTAATTCGCAAGATTCTCTGCCCTTTTTTCTTCCCCCGCTCGCACATGTTTGGAGCACGTGCTGTTATTGTAAAAATACATTACACCTACGTGAGCTAGTAAAATATATATATATATCAGAGATACGACGCCCCCAAACTGTTTTTTATTTGATCTCCTACATGTTCCAATAAAGAAAATGAAATCCAAGTACAGGAAGAGAATAAGAATATATAGGATAACTAATTAATTTTTGGATTTACTTAATTATGCGGCTGAATATGAGAATAAAGCATCGCTGCACTTGGTCCTAGATGCTAGAGCGGACTGATACATCAAATCAGTCGTTATAATATAAGTTCTCGTCCGATGAATTTGTTAGCAGAAGAGATTCCCCACTCGCGGTTTATCGAGAAGAAAGAGTGAAAATCAATTCACCTTTTTCGTACTTTTATAACATTATATACGATTATTGCACCGTGAAGTTTTCACCAAAAACTGTCTCAATTATCACTGTTTTCTCTTTAACTAAGGTAAGACATTTTAAAGTATAAAACCGTTTGTAATTGGTATGACATCTGAATTTGTTCTTATCTACTCCGCAAACTCCTTAGAACGTGGTAGACTTTGAGATAATGCAAGGAGAACAGTATTGCTGAGGTAAGATGTTGTATTATTGTCTAAGTCGTTCATTCATAATTATCACCTAAAGTTGTAAAGTAACACGTCACAATAAAGGACTATCAATTATTGGTTGTCTTCACTTTTAAGTTCGTTTTATTGTTTATTATGTAACAGAGAAGGAAGAGTGAAAAAAGTGTTAATTTAATGATTAAAATATAATCATAACTCGATTGTCTTGTTATAAATAAGTAGTTATTTATATGTAACCCTCCGTTTACTAAGTTACTAAACAGGCGATATGGCCAACTCAGTTTGCTTTAAGTAATATCAAATATATTGTGATCTGAAGGGATATTAATTATCAATAATATATATATTTATTATAAAATCACTGAACCAAATGTATCCATATTAGTAAAAACTGTGATCTAATTCAAAATTGTGTGTGTGTGTGTGTGTGTGTATACATATATTATAACCGATGTACCCATGTATGTAATCAAACAGTGGAATTAAGTTCTCTTAAGGACAACAGAGCAATGTTAATTGCATACCCATATTAATTCTCAATTAACGTAAAGATATGATCTTAAAAATATTCTTATTGAAACAATCTGAATTCTAAAACTGTTCAAGTATTTTTTGTTTAATTGCTTTTAATTAAAATTTGGCATTTATATTGAGTTGGATTTGCTTGTCCCTTGGGGGATACTACACCTATAACTGAGTTTGGTTATCATTGTGGGGATATTACACCTATAACTGAGTTTGTTTATCATTTTGGGGATACTACACCTATAATTGAACTTGATTTCTTGTCACTGTGGGGATATTACACCTATAACTGAGTTTGGTTATCATTGTGGGGATACTACACCGTTAATTGAGTTTGTTTTGCTTGTCCTTGGGGCATAATTTATGTCTTTAGTAAGATTATCGGTGAGTAATAAATAGTTTTGTTTCATATTATTTACTTGAGGGTCGTAAAACGGAAGACGATCAGTTTTAAAGTAAAAACAAACAATCATAAGCTCTTATATCTGTTTATAGACTTTATAACAAATCAAGTATGAACACAGATCATTTTTTATCGACTGTAAAATAAACTATACAAGCGTTGACCAACGTTAATGGAATCTAAGGCAAACAATATGAGCATTGTTAACAATTTATTAACCATTAAAGAACATTACATAAACATCGAATGTTTATCAACTACGTAACAAAACATAATAGGTACTGGTGAGCATAGAGTCACTGTAGAGCCAACAAACTACCGAGGCTCGTGGTTATTCGTCTAATCTAGAAATTCAAAAATACTATAGATGTCACAGAAATACAGTAGAAACTTTGACAGAAATAGTCTTGTAAAGTAGTTAAGTCTTTCAGATTTTAATGTTAGAATTTTGACGAAGTTTCTATAGATCTTTACAATGTTTAGAATATATTTTGACATTATTATGTGTATGTATTTATATAATAGGATAGGAAAATATAGATATATGTAAGCATACTTATAGATACAACTATCAAGATATATTTCATATACGTAACGTATTCTCTTCTAAATCATATAATTTTAAAAGTTCACCTGTTGATCTACGCATATCGTTTATTTACCATTGTTGATTCGCTTTGTTTCAACAGTTTTAGTACAAGAATGTTAAGTATTATTTTTAAAACGATCTGAAGGTTTTAGACATGCGTATCGATATTCGATTAACTGATGACGACGTTCCAATTTAGTTTCAACTGGGTTAGTGAACTTGTAAGTTATCCATAGATCCTTATGAAGGTGTAATAACGAAAAATTGAGCTAACAAAGCCACATTTTGGAGATATAGGCCGTTATTTTATTTACATTAATAGAAATGAGTCATGTGTGTTTCCAAACTAAATGGATAATATAGCTGATACATAGAACGTCACGAAAAGTGAGCTTCTGTGAACTTATGATCTTTGTTATACATGGATTATTTAGGTAAGATGTAACTATAGGTAAATATTTTATTGAACGAAGTAGTCGTTAATAAAATGTCTTTAATCCAACAGCTCTTCAAATTTTTGACATCCAACATTTTCTTTAAACATACATTTAAATATACAATTAATAACCATTGTTTGTTTGTTTGTAAATAAGCACAAAGCTACACAATGTACCATCTGTGCTCTGCCCACCACGGGTATCGAAACCCGGATTCTAGCGTTTTAAGTCCGCAGACATACATACCGCTGTGCCACTGGGGGCATTAATAACCAAGAAAAACATGAAGTTTCCATTTAGTTGAATATTGATGGCATTGATATCTTCAACGAACTGGCAAGTGGGAAAATCACAAATAGGGGACTAAAAGTCAAGCTAAAAAAGCTGGAAGCCAAACCTGTGAATTCACACTTTTATAAAAAAAAATGTCTTTTAAAAAAGTTAAAAAATAAGTAACTGTGTTGAAAAGTATGTAACTTGTAATACATATGAATATACATTTGTTAAAAGCACAAAATGAGTTTAGCAATACCTTTCACCTACAGTAAATAGTGTTAAGTTCCTTTCTTATATATATATATATATATATATGAACAGCATCAGAAGAATAGGTTTGAAAAATCGCCTAAGAAACACTGGTTTTCCTAAACAGATTTAGATCTTGGAACTAATGTATAAATGCTAGTTTTTATTGTGTTTTTTCGTAATTTCAAAGAAAAGAAACTATTTGATTGAAATATTGCAATCCTTAAAGACGATTTTTTGACCAATTGTGATTTAACACTGTATAAATCTGTTATTTATATTTTTTACTGAATCTAGCATTTTTCCACACGGTTAACCAATGAGATTACGAGAAAGTCAGTTGAGAAAAAAAATACGAAACTAACACGTATATTTGCTGAGCTTACTAATGTCTGTAAGTTCCGTCCTTTGATTTTATCTGATGGCCAGGTTGCACTAGCGGTGAACTTTTCCTCAATTCGAATCCCACATCTTGGTACAATCATGTTGACTTAGTCCTCATGTTACGGTAGTTCAATCGCTGGCCAAACTTTGAGTGGGGGAAGTGTGATGATTAAACAACTTAGACACTGGTAATTGTTATCTCAATCGATTTGCTACTGCTCTATCGTCTGGACGAGCCTAGTTTGATTCCACTGTAAATCTAATACTCTCAAAGATAACTTCTTTAAAGTATATTATATTTTCTTGTTTTATAAAAAGCATTTCTCAATCATAATGTCTCTGCTCGTTAAACAAATTTTCCAAAAACAAACTTCCTTGAAATCCAATCACATTGTTATTAATAATTGTTAATTAGTCTTTCAACAGAATAGCAATTCTGGTTCATACAAAGGTAACTTTCCAAGTGTCCTCACCAAAGTGTTTGTTTTTCGGAAGTTTTAACTGATCATTTCTAATTGAGGTATTATATGCTTATTAAGAATATAAACACACATACACACACCCGCTTAGGCCCGGCATGGCCAGGTGGTTAGGGAGCTCGACTCGCAA